TATTTTTTTTAATCTTTTTTGATTATAGGTGCACATCATCGATTTACTGCCGAAGAACCAGATTGGGGATTTACGCGATTTTATGATCTGAAAAAATTATTTGTCGCAACGACTCATCGTCGTCGTCCACTAATAGAAAATTATGATGCCTGTAATATTACGGCCTTTGTTCGCATTATAAAGGACTCAACTGGTGTTCTATGGCGTGACCTTACAAAGTATTTTTATCATCTTTTTAAATTATATCTCTTTTTAAATTACATTATGAATTTAAAATACTTTCTCTTATAAATTTTTTTCATCTAGTTATGATTCAAAAAAAGAAACAGGATATGTTGCTTTAAAAGAACAAGGATCAACAAGTTATTTAAATGCTGAATTACAATTATTATATAGCATAAAATATTTTCGTAAGGTTAATACTTTTTACTTGATCGAAAAAAAAAAACCTTTTTACATCAAATTTAATTGTACTTTCTTTTTGATTATAGGCGATATATCAAATTTTTACAGAAGAAGATGAACCAAACAAAAGTATTCCTTTGGCTATGCAAAGGATTTTTTATCAATTACAAATATTGGATACACCAGTTGAAACAACAGAATTAACAAAATCATTTGGGTTGGATTCGGTAGATGATTATATACAATATGATGTACAAGAGTTTGATAGAATGTTATTAGATTGTTTAGAAAATAAAATGAAGGTGGGCTTATTATTTATTTTGAATTAAATAATATTTCAGGTTATTTTTATTTCAAATTGGATTATATCTATCTGAATTTAAGAATACATATGCAGATGGTGCTATTTCCAAACTGTTTGCAGGAGAGATGAAGAATTATGTAAGATGTATCAACGTAGATTATGAGAGTTCATGTATAGAAGATTACTATGGTAGTAATGAATATATGTGTACATACATATATATAACTATAGAATTTAAAGTTGGGTTAAAGTAATATTTAATTTTATCGCGATAGATATTCAACTTGAAGTAAAAGGGTGCAAAACTTTAAATGATTCTTTTCTAAAATATATTCGTGAAGAATCTTGTGAAGGAAATAATAAATACCAAACCGAAACATATGGTTTACAAGTAAGTCATATTTTATCACTATATTATTGAAAATTACATTAAATGTAAAGATTTTACTATGATTATATTATAGGATGCAAGGAAAGGGATAATTTTTGAAAGTTTTCCACCCGTATTACGAATAAAATTAAACCGATTTGAATATGATGCACAAAATGATACTACAGTTAAGGTATCTGTTATGACCTTTAGTTTTTAATTTAATAATTTATTGGATTGAAAATTATATATACATAGATAAATGATCGTTACGAATATCCTATGGAAATTGATTTACAAGGATATTTATCATCAGATAGTGATAAGTCAAAATCGTATAATTATTTGCTTCATGGGTGTGTAAATTGAGTAATTGAGGATTCAATATTCTTAATATATATATATATATATGGCTTTCAAAATTTATTAATAACTTTTTATTATTATTTAGAGTAATTGTTCACGTTGGTGATTTCCATGGAGGCACTTATTATATTTTTCTAAAACCAGAGAAGAATGGCAAATGGTCAGAATTTCAGAATTTTAACAATAAATTAATCATTAGATTGTAATAATAATATATTAGATAATCAACATTAATTATTATAAATATTAATTATTATAAAAGGTTCAAATTTAATGATGAAAAAATTATACCTGTAATAGATAAAGAAGTCCTTGAAAATAATTACGGAGGAAAAGATCCTAATGTTGATATAAATGTAACTGCATGTAGTTTGATATATATCCGTGAATCCGATATCGACTTTGTATTATCTCCTATACTTGATGAAGATATACCAGAACATTTGGGTGAGTGATCTCATTTGATATTATAATTTGAAATTACATTGTGAATTGATTTTTCGCGTACGTACACGTTTAATAGAAAAAAGCTTTGAAGAAGAGAAAGCTTTACTTAATCAGAAAGAAAAAGAAGCCGTAGAACGTCATTTATATTTGCCTACTAAGGTAACTAAATGATATTATGTGAATTAATGATCAATTTATTATTCATAGCAGTTCAAGTTTAACACTTTTACCATTAGGTCGTTACTCTAGATACCTTTGAGTCTCATCAAGGGTTTGATCTCGCAAATCTTGATGATCGACAATATCCAATTTCTGAAGTTCTGCAGTTTAATGTTTTAAAAAGTGATACATATAAGGATTTCAAAGCTATGGTTGCTCAAAAAGTCGGGATTCCAATCGAGCAAATAAGATTTTGGCCTCTTATAAACCGTCAAAATAAAACTGTTAGACCAGATGTTCCAATAGCAGACGTCCTTCTTGGCATGAGTACGTCATGTGTAAAAATACAGTCATTTCATTTCATATTATATATTATACATCTTATACATATTAAAATTTTTATTAACTTTTATGATGAATAGCTATGGAAGAAATTCACAAAAAATTTATGCCGTCATCTAACGAACTGAAATTTTTTTTGGAGGTGGCACATAAACGAATTAACAGCAAAGTAATTAATACCTAGTATTTAATAATTCATTACATAATATGTTATTAAAGAACATACAATTTTAAATTGTTATTTATTTGAAACATAGGAATGGTTCCCACCATACGAAGATAGTTCTGATATATTAGTTTTCATTAAGTACTTTGATCCCGATAAACAATCTCTAAAGTATGTGATTTAAACATTATTAATTCATTTGATATAAATTCATTTAACATGAAAATTAATCTTTTATACCTATGTAAACAGAGGAGTATGTTATTTCTACGTTCAAAAATATGGCAAAGTTGGTGATATCATTCCAATTCTTTGCGAAAAAAAGAACTTTCCACCAGACACCCCCTTGAAAATATACGAAGTAAGATATATTTTTTCATATATAATTATTTTTTTTTGTTGATAATAACAGCAAAATTATTTTATTAAAATATAGGAAATAAAACCAAGCATGATTGAAGAAATGAAACCCAAATTGACTTTTCATATATCTGAGATACAACATGGTGATATAATTTGCTTTCAAAAAGCTTTAACAGAACAAAAGTAAGTTATTTATTAACTTGATATTGTCTCATGTTAAATGTAAAGAATTTTTTATAAGAACCCTTTTTTTTTTTTACCTCAATTTAGAGCACAAGAATATTTTACTGCTGGTTATTATCGTAATATTCCTCAATTCTATGAGTCATTATCTCTGCGTATTGTTGTTCGATTTAAGCCAAGGCATAAAGATCGTGAACCAAAATCTGAATTTGAGTTAACTTTAAATAAAAGAAATACATATGATGAAGTACGAAGTTTTCATATAGAGATTTGAAAAAATAACATATATATACTCATCATAATGCTTAACATGATTTGAATTTAATAATTTATTTAATTGATATATATCTTCTTTATACATTTCTTTATACTTTATATATTTATAGGTCGTTAAACATGCTGCCGATTTTTTAAACACTGATCCTTTGAAATTACAATTTGGAACGGCATATCCAACAAACGGTACATACAAAGCTGTACTTAAAAGGGTAGCCAACCAAACATTGTCAGAGATGCTTCAAACAGCCTATCTACCTAGTCCACCAAATCTTTTATATTATGAGATACTTGACGTTAATATTATTGAATTAGAAAATAATACGTTGTTCAAAATATATTGGCTCGGAACAACTATTAAGAAAGAGGTAAAAAAAGCACTATAATATTTCGATTATACAATAAATTTATATTAGTCAGATCATTAATTAATATTAGTTTTTTGTTTTTAAAAGGAAGTGATTGATGTTCTTATTCCAAAGAATGGAACAATTAATGACATTTCAAAAGTAATTGTACAAAAACTATCATTGCCAATTACTTGGATTAGATTGTATGATACTTGTAATTTTAAAATTCAAAATGAATATAACTTTGATGATCCAATAGATAAAATACAGGAAGTAACATTATACGCAGAGGTTTGTTCTTTTATTATTATTTTCATGCGATTTTTTATGCAACTTTTGGATATTAAAATAACATGTGTATTTATATTTAGGAAATACCACAAGAAGAATTTGAAATATGTGGTGATGATAAAATAATTCAAGTTTTTCACTTTACTAAGGAGCCGTTTTGCGCGCATGGAATTCCATTCAAATTTGTTATTAAAGCTGTTAGTATATTTTAAAAATGACAAATTTCAAATGATTATTTTTTTTATTTTAATGATTTTTAACGTTTTTAATATAATCAGGATGAACCTTTCTCTCAGACAAAGTTACGTCTTCAATTACGTTTAGGAATGAATGAAAAAGATTTTTCAAAGGTTAAAATTGCAATTGTACAACCAGAATCTTATGAAGATCCTGAGTATATAAGCATAGATGATGATGGTATGTGTACTTATTTTTAAATTTTTTATCTTTAAAAAAAAAATTTTTTAAATTGCTGATAATTACTATTATTATGATGTTCAAATAGACTTTATTCTATCGAATTACGATTTTATTGATGATGAGCTTCTAGGTCTTGACTATCAGGAAACAAAAACAGGACGTGCGGGAATAGTAGGGGGTGAAAAAGCGATATTTATTAGAGGATAATATTAGACTATTGAAATTAAACATTTGTTTGGTTTGGTTAGAGATCACACATAAAGATTGTTATAATATTATTGTATTCTACTAAATTTTTGGTATTCCAAACATCTAGTTTTATTACTTGTAATACAATTAAAGATCACAATTCCCACACATTTTCATGTTTCCAACCTAAAGCTTTAAGGTTATATTTTCGCCATTAATGCTAATATGCGGAAGGCAGTTTTCATAACATCATATAATATTTGTTCGCAAGCTTTATCTTTATCTTTGGTCATGTGGATAGTTTTTAGTTGATTATTTTTTTTTTTTACGCATTTTACATGTGTTACATGTGATACGCCCACCACCTTTTTCTTTCTATATATTGAAATAATTCTATATTCTATATATGCGTTGTGCATGAATTTATAATGAGTGTGAATTTAAAACTTAGTCGCGACAAATTGAAATTCGAATCAAAACTGATAACTTGAATGAACTTGAATGAAAAACTTTGGGTCTTTATTAACCTCTCTAGTATAACTGCCTAAATCATTTACATAAGTTATGTATAACTAAATCATTTACGTAAATTATAATCAGACATGTACCCTGTAAATAATTAGAATCCGTACTTAAAATGATCTGGGTGATTATGCTAGGTTCGTCCTCGATTCTTCAGATTTTTGATGGATCGAGTCCCTAATGTTACACATATGTGTGGCTAAAGTAAAAAGTAAAAATAGTAATTATTGGCGCATAAACTTGGTAACATAAATTGTACGTTAAATGGCGTAAGTGTGACAAATAATGTAGATCAATTTTTACATGTGATGTAAACAATTGTGTAATTCATGTGATTTTTAATTTTTCACTATGTATAAAAAATCGTGTCACACCGGGCACTTTGATCAGTGCACTACGGGTAACTTGCATTCAGATTGATTGTCATAATAGCCGTAAACAAATCTTTGATATAGCGATAGGAAATGATCCTAGCAACGCCATAAAAAATGTAACAAATAAATAAATAGTATTGTGACGTTTAGAGACATTTTTTGTGTGACATTAGGGTCGTTTGATTAGTAGGTTAATGATGTCAGCAAATTTTACCATAATCCGAGTTTCCGGAATTTGATCCAACGATTTAGATTCGGACCTCGAATCAGACCTGCGAAGCACTTAAGCCTAATACAAGCTAATATTATAGCAAAATTACGATCCGAACAACTTTATTTAGTGCATGGGTTAGCGGATTTATTACTAAAAATTTGGCATAATTAATTAAGTCTGGAAGCTCGTGTTATACGAAATGGTAAAATTTTTTGGACCTACTACGTTTGATATACGTACGTACGTACGTACGTGCGTATGTACGTTAAGTATGATAGAACATGATATAGGACATTATAGGATATGATTGATTTATAGTTTATCTGTTATTAACTGAAAGTAGGTAGCCCTGAATTAGATTATCTTGCATTAAACCTAGCAATTTTAGGCAAGTGAAAATGTGAAATTGCGTGCAAGCTTCAGGACGTATAGTTATTATTGTAAGAATCTCACCCACATTTAACTCACTTTGACATGAGTTACTGTGTAAAGCGTATTGTGTAATGGTTGTATTAATATTTCAATTCCGACAATCATCTACCCAACCCTTTTCCAACACTTTTCCAACACTTTCCTAAACTCTCCTAAACTTTTATCTAACTATTTTTAGAAATCTTTTTTTTTTAATATGTAACATGAAACGTTATCAAAAAATTTTTTTCAGCAGATACATAAATACTGGGGAATTGAGGATCTTCAATATGCAGTAGTGGTGATTTTTTATGGCAGGTATTGTATTCTGTGAATACCCGATTTACATTAGTTTAGTACTACATAACGATAATATACTGGACTTAACATTGTATTACGATTCGAAGCACCAATAATAAAGAACAGCATGTGAATTTATTAAATCAATGTAACCCAAATAATAAAAATATTGTAGCTGCGTACACACAAAGCATGTCACAGATACGTTTCTAAAAGATGCAAGTCATTAGAAGAATTACTACGTACATACTTATAGTTATATTAACCCTTTATTATAATATTATAATACGTACTAAATTATATTTACAACGGTTCATTAAGAAAAAAGCGTGATATCTAATCTACTTTAATCTATGAATCACGAAGGATAGATCTATGGATCGCAAAAGACCTGATAAAAGAGAGAAAACATGATAGCTAAGTTTCCTCACATATAAAGTGTTTTTTTAAAGAATATTCATTTTTCAATTATGAAAAAAAGGATATTCAATTTTCCATTATGAAAAAAAGAATATTCAATTTTCAATTATGAAAAAGAACTATCAATTTTTTTATAAATGTTTTTGTTAAGAGCTCGGAACATTTTGAGCCGCTGCATAGCGTACTCAAAGTAATTAAAATTAATTTTACTTTGTAAAGATTGAATCAATGCCCAAAGACCCCACATTAAATGACTTGCTAATTGAAATGCTTCACATTCTATTAACAATTTTTGTAATACATCGTCAGATAAGGGGGAAGTTGGGTCGCTACAAGATAAGTAAGATTCTAAAAATCTTAACATGTCAACATCTTTTGGATACCAATCTTTATGTAAAATATGAGGATTTGAATCGTAGTAATCAAACATGAATTCACAAAAGAAGTTACTAATGTCGAAACCACGATAATTATAACCAGCATACTCAAAGTCCACAGCAACTAGTTCATCAGACCCATCAGTTAGTCTAAGAATATTTCCTGGTTGAAGCTTAAAGTCGTTAGTAAAATAAAATAAATAAATAAATAAATAAATAAATAAAATAATAATAAAGATTAAAAGGTTAGTAAAATAAATACATAATAATACCTAGGTTGTAGTATTATAAAAGTTGAGGATAACTTACATCATTATGAGCCAGGACAATTGGAGAGTTAATTAAAGATAATTTATCTTGTAATATTTGGATTTCATTTTTAAGAAAAGATAAATCAAATTCACGTAAAACGAATCTCTGATTTTCGGAGAAATTTTCTGTATTATTTGCAACAACGGTATACCATTTTGAAACATTAGTCCAAAGTGAAGGATCAGTACCGTTTTCAGGAGGGTTTAGACGGACCATATTGTGAAGGGAAGCCATACGTTCAGCAATATGAATATAAATTTTTGGACACTTTACATCCTTGCTATTTAAAGTAATAGATTCAAGGAATTTTTCAACTCGACCATTTGCAAAGATCAATAATAATTCGGGACCAATTCCGTAAGGAGAAAGGAATTTCAACCATTTTAATTCTTCTTCCCTATCACAGAATTGATCCGCACCTTTTCCATATACACGTAAGACGACTTTTGATGGGCTACCATTATTAGAAACTCGTTTGTTTTCCACAAAGAATACACAATTTGTGAGAGCACCAGAAACTCGAGTGATGATAAGTTGAGAACCTTCAGTAACGTTTTCCCAACCTTTAATCCTTTTTACAAGAGGGACTAATGCGTCCTCCAAATTGATATTGCTTTGACCTAATACACTAAAAGAGAATATAACATGTACATTGTTAAAATATATATATATATATATACATTTTAATATCATTGATTTAAATTTAAATGATTGTAATCGTAATAACTACTTACTCTAAATCGATATAATCGTCGCAGGTTGGAATAATTATGTCTGTAACATCTTCTATAAAAGGACCATATTTAGTATGGCTTTCGGGTTGTTGCACTTGGATATATGACATTGAATTTTTATTAATAATTTTTCTGTTATTAAAATTTTTCGCTCGAAAGTAAGAAAAATAGAATTTGCCAATTGAAAGCAAGAAAAGTAAAATTTTTCGCTTGAAAGTAAGAAAGAAATTTTTCATGAAAAAATTTTTTATGATAAAAAAAAGGCGTATATACGATATATATCTGATATAAAAGCGTATCTGATGTTTTTTTTTTTCTACAACTTGAGATTTTACTTTTTTATATAAGGTAAAAATTTACATTAGCTTTATTTATAGTTATACGCAGGGAGTTTTTTTTGATGGCCTAGCCTTTTATGGATTTGAGTAAGGCCTCGTGAGATCTTGTGATCCAATAAACTAAAGAAAGTGAAAAGCGAATAAGAATGTATTTTTTTATTTTATATACACAAGATCACTTTGTACATTGACGATGATTCAAGTACATACCGATACGTATCATATTGTATTTTCGTACGTACGTAATTGCGTACTGTTAGGGTTCATTAATTATCCCTACTGAACTGACGCAACAGTACAGTCATGCGTAATACGTACATATCATGCTGTCATGAGTAGAAATTAAAGAATGTCCATACATGATTCTTATTATAATGTACATACAAGTCAAGTTGAAATGAAATGATAACGTACATAATAACGCCCACAATAAATTTATCCTAAAATGTATATCATAAGCAACATAGTTAGCAACATAAAATAACAAATTATGTTTGTTGTTTAAAGAAATTCAATGAATTTATTCGTTTTGCAAAATTTATTTATGTTGCAAATGATTTGATTTGTTTTTAATTTTGGTCAACTCGGCGTTAGCCGTCAAAAAAGAAACATGATTAAGGCATATTAAAACTATTACTATTATTATAATTCCGAGTTAGAGCTTCTATGAAGAACGCAATGATCTCATGACCACTCTAAATCTAATAAATCTTTAAATGGTTTATCTTTATTGAATTTTAGTATATTCTCAAACACGAATGTGCCAAATATAAGCATTGTTAAACAAAGAATCGAAAATCCTTAATCTCTGAATAGATTTTCCTATCTATCTAGAATTTATATATGTTTTTTTCTTTTATTTAAATAATTTGGAATGTACAGCTATCGCTACACATTGTTAAAAAAATCTTTTTGTAGCGTCAAAAATAGGTTAAACAGGATTTCAAAATCTGTATCGTGATAACATAAGTTGTCAGATGACTTGCCATTTTTTTATTATTTCCGGAAATAAAATATGGTCACATTTAGTCACACGACACCACGTACATAAAAAAACTATTATACAGTATATGTCTTTTTTACTAAAGAAATCACCTGCTGCGTTCTATTCAAAAATGTTCTTTGTGAAATCTTATTACCATATTCTAACCTTAAAAAAAATAATAACTAACGAATTATATTTTTATTTTTATTGAGTTCATTACGTATTTATATTACGTATTTCAAATTCTGCCACATGTACGTACGTACGTTACAACAAAATTTCTGTTTATCTATTCCCATATTCATGCTCATATAATATGTTGAAAAGTGCTTGTGTTGCGTATGTTATTACTTTATCTAGCTTCACATAAATCACATAAATAATTGTGTTGCAGTTTTTGGATTGTATTAATTAATACAATATGTGCGTAAATACGTCGTACGTATTAATTTATTGTAAAAACAAAGTAAAAAAAATTATATTATTCTATATACCTATCAATATATATGAAAGAAAAAAAATGAGCGGGAATCGACTTTTTCGATCCGGAATTAAATTATATAGGTATCATTTTTAGGGAATTAATTTTTCCGCTTAGATATTGCTGATATTTTTCATTAATATTTGCTTTCTTTATTTAAAAAAATTTTTTTAATCTGCTTGCAGCTTTATGTATTACAGTATTACTTGACTTTCATATAACATTAATACGTACGGTCTCGGATATTACTAAATCCGGATGGCGTAGGTGACGTAGATCGCTCCTTTTATAGTAACCGAGAATATTCCAGAAGCTTCTAGCATAAATACTTAATGAAAGATGTAAGTTAAGGTATGACATTCGTTTGATTGGTTTATGTAAAATCAATCGCCAAAGTGCATAACTTAGAATGTAACGTTTCACTAATAGAAGTTCCTTAAGAACGTTAAGATTCACTATGCAAGCGCAAAAGAATCTCTGCTGGCTTCGTTTACTTCGCTTGTAAGACAAATATTTTACTATTTATTCTAAATTCTAAAAACGATTAAATAAAAAGAAGATTTAGATGTTAAATCTAAGGTTTAAAACTAGCAACCTGTATGGAGAAGTTACTTTATAAGCCCCTGAAATTAGATAATCATGCATGCATTAAATAACTTAGCCAGGTGTTACTCCAGATACTATGTCTCAACATTGACAAATTATGTATAATTACAGTAATAAATAACATGGGGATAGGGAGTTGGTTTGGTTTGGTCTGGTTTAATATAAATTCTAATTTATGCAGATAATGCATCAATCAAATTTGAATTAAACCAAATCGAACCAAACCAAACCTCCCATCCCTACTTGCATTTGCCCATGTGATTTTTCAAAGTTTTAATTAAAATTAAAGTTAGAACTAGGTTAGGTATATATGTAAAATTGCCTTCCCGACATTTTTTGTTAATGCCCCAAAATAGGTTTAGACTGCCGTTTTTAATAGTTTGCACTTTATTTTTTTTTTTGATTTCTTCGGGCTAATCCATGTAAACAAAATTTCGGTTAATTGATTTACACATAAATTTCACGTGTCGTATCTCAAATTGGAAAACTAGTTTAGGATTTTAGCATTAATAGTTAATTATAGTTATATAAGACTTAGCTAATTAAATCAATGATAGATATAGTCATTATTTTTTTGCCGTAAATAGTTTGGGTCTCATCACTATTGGTTGATGATCATGTCTTTTATCTTCATAAATTAGCGAATCTTGTGAATGTCTTCTCATAAAATGTCACAACCTATACCGATACTGCGATATGATGTTACCTCTAATCTTCCAACTTTCTGCAGTTATAGCTAAGAGTAAATCTAAAGTATCTGAAATCATTAATATAGAAACTAATAATTGCAACATTTAAAAGTATATGTAATCAAAATAAGTTTAATAATTATCGCGACTGATGCTGAAATTGGCTAATACTGAAATTTGGGGTCTCGACTTAAAAATTTAAGCCCTGCTAAATTCCATATATACATTTTAATTATCAATTCCAGCCCAAAATCCTAACCCATCCCTAAAAAAAAGGTGGAACCGAAAATTTTAAATTTCATATTAAAATATATAGGTTCGAATTTCTGCATCAGCGGCAACAATAATTATATGAAACGAGATCTTTGCTAGGAAAATGACCCTCCAAGGCTATATTGATTTTGTGAAATAAATTAAATTTGTCGGCCATCTAGTCACCCAATTTGAATGAACTTTTTCTTATTTTGTAGAGCTTATTAACTCCATATAATAAGAAAAGTTCATTCAAATTGGATAACCAGATGGTTGGCAAATTTAATTTTCATGTACAAAATCAACATAGCAGAGATCCCAAATGTAGATTGTATGATCATAGTCTAAATATATATGAATTAACTTAAGACATAGGTACATATGAATTTTATAGTAAAGATTTGCTTGGAATTGCAATCTGAATTTTCCTAGAACACTAGGTTGCTGTATTGATTTAGCTAAACAATATATAGATTCTGATCCATAAAAACGGCTTACTATTATGTAATAATCTTATTCTTGGCGTAATTTGACTAAATCATTTTTAATAGTCTGAACTGCAAATAATTTAGCATGTCAAAAATAGGGTATATTTTAGTGTGTTGAGAATATTTCAGGATATCAAATGTTGAAATAAAAGCAATGTATTAAAATTGTAAAAGATAAATTATCTATATTGTAATAATGATATTTAAAGTTTATATAATTTATTGACAACTGTTTTCCCACTACTCAATTCCTATTGATTCTAAGTTAGATTAATATCTAAACTTAAAATTGCATTTTTTTTTCATTAGTAAAAAATTCAAAATGTCGATATAGTGAGTTATACGACATTTTATATTAAATTTTGAAAAAAAATGTCGATATAGAAAGATTTTACTATGATGTCGTTATATCCAGATGTCGGTATAATCAGTGTGACGTGTA